GACTGAATGATTGCGATAAAATCTGAAATGATCATGCAAAATTAGAAGTACTTATAATCGCAAGTACTGAGTATACTTAGACTGTGATTGAGACGCCCACTGGCAACAGAATAGATCTAAGAAAGGAGTGGCAGAGAGGCAGCGTTATCAGCCTCGAATTCTTCGACGCAGTTCCTGGAAGTCAAAGCAGCCAAGTTAATATTTCAATCGGCTCATATTTCGGGAGTTTTCTTCGTAATTTTGGAATTTTTGGAAAGGAATAATTAATATGCATAACTCAGAAACTCATGGCCGTTAGAGAGCTAATTATGGCGCCGATAGTTCAGAGGCGGGCGCTCAAATTTTGAGCGAGCGTTCAAAAATTACCAACAAAAAGCTGCTAAAGTACTTATGACGGCAGATTTTCAAAATAATGTAAGGAAAATGTCGATCATTGCAGTTAAATGGCAAAAAAGATAAAATGTGCAGTTTGCGCACTTATAAATATATTACAAATTGCTGATTAACTGTGAACGTTTGGCCAAGAATCGTGCAAGTTGAGTTTGAAATATCGATAAATTTCAAAACAATTACTCTTGACGTGGGGAAAAAAATCTGACGACACGAGAACGAGCGATAAAAATCCAAAAAAATCTTTAGATTTTTAGCTGTCCCCTCGATCATGGTACCGCACCCCTTATTAGACGAGTTGTTGCATGTCTTTGAAGGAAACGGTGTCAGGATCTTACGTATGTTTCAAATCAACCTGCAAATGTCAAGAGATATATTTTTACGTCACTTCATCTGTGACCGTAACATCGTTTTAATCAAAAGTTTATATGTGAATTTGTAATTCAAAAAGCTAGTCATAGTTTTGAAAAGGTCATTGAGACAAATCTAATGATGTATAACACAAGACTTCACCATGGGCGCTTTGCCCCGACACGCGTGGGCCCGTTGCCCCACTAGGTATCATTTCAATTTATATCGTGTCACCATTTTATATTTAAAAGCTAATAGTCTAAACTTTATCTCAAAATTATCCCTATAAATATTACTTTCAAAATACAATTCACAGTAATTTCAAAAGCTTCATCTACAGTAATCGAAGACAATTTTATTTAGCAGCAAAAAAATTTTTATCTTGGCTAAAACAGTTATTCACAAATAACTTGATAACGCAAACACTTAGCAAAACGTAAATCCGTACACTTCATCCCAGTGAAACTGTCGACCAGCGGTAGAGAACACGGACCAATATCTGCCTTACTTAGCGAGAAACCCGCTATGGGCCCATGACCCGCAGTGGGCTCGCTGCCCCATGTTACCCTACGTGTATGCTAAAAATTTTAACCGACCGATGATTGAGTTGGTCTCCGAAACGTTTTCGATATAAATGCGGTAAATTTCCTTAGCAATTCCTCTGCTGTTTAGTTTTAGGCTGAATTTCGATTAAAGGAAACAGATGATAATCAATAGCAAGACGAAAATTACTCATCAATGAGACTGACAAAATGGAAAATCTTTTGATCATTACTGATAGTACGTGCATTTATAATACTAGCAGAAATAGTAAGCCACAACACCAACAAAATTTATGAATGGCGTTGAAAGAGACGCTGAGTTTGTAATTCTTACCGTGTATTAACATAACATAACATAACATAACATAGTGATGTCGGCTCTGAAGTGTAGGCCTGATGTGGCCTGTCGCCGATTCTTTTGAAACTAAAAACCCTGAATGGCCGTACGAGTTGATTTGTACACTTCGTATACTAATCATGCTGCATGAATTATAAATTATTCGGGCAGTAGAGAGCGCAAAAATTGCAAGGCAATGCACGTACACAAGTCACGTGATCGACGCCTGCCACATCGCTATCACATGGACGAGAGTCACGTGATCGACGCCTGCCACATCGCTATCACATGGACGAGGTGCACGTAGCACATTCATCAGGAGCTTGTCATGTGCACATCGCTATCACATGGACGAGTGCACGTAGCACATTCATCAGGAGCTTGCCATGTGCACATCGCTATCACATGGACGAGGTGCACGTAGCACATTCATCAGGAGCTTGCCAACACACGTCATGCTTGCAACATACAGCAAGTAAATACACGTCTAATTTGTGATGGCGCCCGATAACAAAAGGCTACTCAATGGCCGCTTTAACGCGTAAATTTTGGAAAAAGCCGTAAATTCCGTCATTACTGTGGGGCGGCAGGCGAGTCACAATGCAATGGTGTAAGGTATAACCTGTTATCTACCTTCTATGTCGAGGATTCAATAGAAATGCAGGCTGTCAAAGGAGCCCTACATAAAATTACGAGAGCAGAGACTTCTTTTTGAATGAGAAGCTCGGGCACCACAGGTAGTGAAATGCTCTCTTTTTCTGTACACAGGACAGTTTGAATGGGCACGCCGATTAAGTGAGTGCATGGATGTGTAGACTATGGATGATGTTTTGAGACGAAGAGAGGCGCTCATCTGTGGAGGCCAGCTTTGTGAGGCTCCTAGTGTTAGTTTAACAGATAAACAACAAAAGTTGGCGACGTTTCGAGCTCCCGCGAACAAAAGCTGTTTTCCTAAAGCAACTACCAGTCAGAAACGTCCTTTGCCTCATTCACTTTACTCATGTTTTTGCTTAGACACAGCGGCTCCTAATTTACCCCACTTAATGAACTATGCAACAACCCACAAGACTTTATATAATTCGACAAAAAACATAACTTTAATGGACGCAATAAAATCAGCCACGATAGCCTGAATGAAGCGAAAAACTCCGAATAAGAACGCTGGCTTTGAACGCTCCAATGGCAACGATTACACACGACACCGTCTTGCAGCGGCCAGAGCTGAATTAAATGCAGAGCTGCCCATGAATCCAAGCTATGCTGCGTTAACCAAAATGTCAATAGTTTAATAAGACATACATTAAGTCTAAATAGCTACGGTTCCAGAGACTAGTTGAAATGGTAAGCGGATTACCTTGCACGGACTAAGCGCCTATCGGGCTTACAAAAACGTTGTGGCTTTGAAGACGAGGGTTTAAAATACTCTCAACATGAACTTGGCATGAAGTTCCTATACATTTAAAGATCAACTCTTCGTTAAAAAAATAAGGATAGCGGGAAAATCTTCCAAATTACAAAAGGACAATATTCGAAAATTACAGTGAAAGCAAGAATAAATAAGGTTTAGTAAGGAGTAACAGTTGCTGAGCGCGGTGTGATGAAGTTTCATTAACATGGTTTTAGAAAAGAAACTGAATATTTTATTTGAATAATTCAAGCCGACTGCAAGTAACCCAAGTTTAATGTTCTTATTTCCGCCAGCCAGGTCTACTATCTTTAGTACAAGAGAGTCAAGAGCTACAATTTTTATGACAAAAAGCAAGATAATCTGTCCGGTGCCATTCAAAGCTTGAATGACTCTCAATTACGTAAAGCAGCTTTATTCTAGAAGGTTCATCTGTTGAACACAAAGAGGGAACAGTTTTGGCGAACGGATCCAATACATTCTCTTTACAAATCCACGCCAATCAAGAACCACCCTATAACCTTTATCGCGTTCAGAACGAAGAGAGCTTTGCCAGTAGTCGTGGCAACATACGATATTTTTGCAGTATCTTTTTTAAGCCAAGCAAAAGCACCTTGATTCGAACTCAAAAAATCTTTAGTATTAAAGCGTTTAAGAACAAGTTTGTGGCTTTGATATGCAAGATGATAAGTGTACCGGTTTGGGGGCTGTCAGTATAGTTCAGCAATCGCCCAACCAATGGCTACCAAGATAAACTTCAAGATAATTTCTCGGTGCAATACTGCAGGCATGTATAGAGTCGCAGCGTATCGCTGCGAACACAACGCGTGTCGTAAACTTCTCACAACTGACGACGCAATCGCCAAAAAATACCGGTCGACACATCTTTGCTCTTAATTAGCCATCCGCTTTCTGAATAATGGACAACACGGATTCCAGAGTTACGATGAGCTCCAGTCTCGCATGAGGTACTTTATTTGAGAAATTACTGATGAACAAAGCTTGCATGATGCGAAAATTGAACTGTATATTCAGGGCCTCTATCTTTCCGATAGATCGAGATAGGAACCCCACATCAAGCGATAATATACGCTTTAACTAGCTAATTAAACGGCACTAATTGAGGAAATTTATCGTCCGATTAAGCCGAGGTGAGGGAGCAAATAAGTTAATGAGAGCGATAAGTAGAGCGGCAGTTGACCAAAGCAGACTGCCCCACCACACAATGGCCGCCTCGCAGTCATTTCCATCAATCCAGTTGGCAACTGGCAATAAAAGATACGAAAAATATGTACTTCAGCAATCGATGCTGGATAGAAAGATACAAATAGAACTTTGTGCATAGTTGCACCCATCATTCGCATGGAAATTATTTTTGACAATTGTTTTGGCGCTGAAAAAACAGGAATTCATGCACTCAGTGAAGGCGTAACGTTAACATAATTCTCAATAAATTAGAAACGAAGTACACATAACGAATGAATAAAGGTTGCCACAAAAATTTTTTACCGCAATCCCAAAGTGAGATATATAGGGCTTTACATCATCCCAAAGAGATTAGAGGGCTTAACACCAGCTCATGGAGATTAGTAAGGCTTAACACCATCCCAGTAAGATTAGCAGGGCTTAACACCATCATAAAGAGATTAGCAGGTCTTAACACCATCTCACAAAGATTAGTAGGTCTTGACTCTTGACACCATCCAAAGAGATTAGCAGGCCTTTAGCGACCCCTTTGCTAAATGAGTCAAATCGAACATCAACGTGATTCTCGATTCATAAAAAATCAACTTGATATACTTGACATGGAAACGTGGCTCTGCCGGAAGCGCTAAGAAAACTTTGACGCGGAGTTTGAAGCGTAACTCACGCAGATCTACCATGGCAACCGTACAGAATATTTTCCGCATATTCACAACCAAAAATTGTTAACAACTGATGCCGCACCGAAACATCACAAATATGTAGCACTCACCACTCAATAAGTGTGAGAACGTCGGACGCTGCAGCAACGCGCAGATCAGAAGTAGACTCAGCATCGACATCTTCATGAAGTCGAGTGACATCACGGTTTCTGATGAGAGCAGAAACGGAACACGTTCAGTAAGTGATAGCCAAACACGTTTGTATTCCCCGTTAATATGACTTAATTGACAAAAATAAGGATCATATTACTGGTTATCGAACATACGGTAGTCGACGTAGTTCATTCTTCGTAAGCGAAACTAAATTCTTATCACGTATAGGCACCTATAAATGGTAAAAATATTTATTAATAATACAAATTCTATGCAGGACATTATTTCAGTTATAATAAATACCCAATAATACCTAGTATATATAGTGTAGCTATACTCACAGAACGCTACGAGGTATATGTAGACCTTATCTTAATATATGCCTTGAATAATATAAGTTCAATGAATATAGCGCTGTACGTATGAGCTAACTTGAGACCTCTCTGGAGTAATATTCAACATCAAAGTGGATCGGTTTACCAAAGAAGTATAAAGTATCGTTTTGATGAGTACAATCACAATTTTTCACTGATATTAAAAAGAAAACATTTGTAGCGATTCGAAAGAAGTCATTTTGTTATATTTTCATGGAGTGTTAATAAATCACCTTCAGTTTCTGCTGCGTACCGACAACTGGGCAGGCAAATTAACGAGCTTTTCTCTGAGCAGAACAGCATTTGCAAGGTCAGGCAAGGACGCTACAAGACAATCATAAATTGCAAGGCACTATAAACTTCAATAGTCTATGAGGGAGGAGAAGATTTAGCGGATGGTAGTTCACTGCCGAGTTTCACTCGTACCAAAACCCGTTATTTTCTCTTGTATGAGCAACCAGAGGACGATCGAATTGGGGCTTCGTATCGGACTGATCGACCGGAGCAAAATTTGTTCGTTTTTTTCTTGCATGACAGCATGCAATAGGTGCTCCCAATTTTCAAGTGAAGTAAGTTATTAACGTCTGTTCTGAGTTATTAAACTATACATAAATGTCCACTCCAATAAAAGTTTAGTCAAGTAATTCAACAGGGCAAGATCGTTGAGCTCTAGCCATATGTGGACTACTAAAGATTTGGAACAAAGAAGCATAACAACGCTGCGATATTGCACGTTCATTCCATGGGTAGTTAAAAGTAGTGATGCTTCTCAGAGTGACCTGTTCGTAAAATTATATTAAATGGACTTATTGGAATTACAAATGCAAATATAAGGATTACCTTATGGTTTTAACGCAATCCATCGTATTGCGTTTTATTTGTCATCAGTTAATTTCACTGTCATGGTGACTCGTGTGCAACTCATCAGTCGTAGCATTACTAAGGCAGTCACCTTAGTTTAAGAAATTTATCAATTTTAGAACAGAAAATACAATCACTTAAATTCAAATAGATAAAAATATGAAAAGAAAGTAGCAGAATAAATTAAAAAGAAAGTTGCAGAGTAGGTAGATGAGTTGGATTATTTTTATTTCATTAAACGAATCATAATGTAAAATTTAATGCAAGGTAAGCTTAGATTGGCCGTGGCGGTGTGAAATACTCTACGATGATATCATTCAAGGCAGCATTCAAGCAATATCACGAAAAATAAAACTCTGGGTCATGACTTCAGATTGAATTTACGATCAGGTCTCTGATTCAAATTTAAAAACAAGGATTACGCACACGAAAAATTTATCAAGGCTAAAACCAGTAACGCATGCGAGGAGCAGGAAAGACGTTCGTCTCTGATTGCTCGGCTAAAACTTAATTACCTCATTTCTTCCTAAAAAATATTTCGCCTAAATTAGCAATGCAAGTGAGATCGCTCTAAACCAGCGCAATCGAGCGATTCAATCGAGCGCAATATCTTTCTAAATCAGGTCTAACATTGCACAATCTTTAGCGCACTAAGAGGTATGAACGCTTTCACAAGTAAGCTCTTTCTACACCGGCATTATCACTACATAAGCAAACGCTCTGTACAAACGTCAACGTTTAACATAACTTCACTCCATATGCACCTGCACAAATGAACTGTACAACATCATTATAACAGTATAAACGCTTAACTAAATCATAACTCCAACACATGCATGTGCACTACGACAGGACAATCGTCCTACACCAGCATTAACACTACACAAGTAAACGCTCTGTACAAACTTGAACGTTAAACACAATTGCACTCCACACGCAACTGCACAAAGCGATAGCTGTACTACAATCGTTATAGCAGCATAAACATTCAACGAAATAATAACTTCAGCACTCGCGTGCTTCAACAAGGCAATAGTTATACATCAGCATTAACACTCAACAAAGCACTTTATTTCAACACCAGCCTATCATCACCTATGTACGCCCTGCTACAACATCGTTGCCTTTAATACGAGCCACGCCGTCCGAATCCTGCAGCCGACAATGAGAGCGTCGCTCGTTAACAGATAGCATCACGAGATGGCGGTCTATATGGAACTCTCAACAATGAATTCAATTAGAACTTTCGTTCCAGTTGTGGAGTGGCGTCAATTAGGCCGAGCATCTTACAGGTTAATCACTTAGGTAAACAATTGGCTTGGTTGCAATATGACAAATCAGCTCTTATTAATGAAAGGCTTGTTTAATTGAATGGGCAAACGAGATGACAGAGTAAGGTGCACTTAGTGTCGCGCTCAGTACTAATGGCAGTGAAGCAAGTAGCTCCGGCTACTGCACGCTGGCTCAGGCGATACGTGTGGATAAAATCTAACGAGGGACTCTAGACTTAGAACACTCAGTGCTAAATTTACTAAGAAATATTAGCTTTTCAGAACTGATGGAAGTAAATCAGATTATTGCAAAGAATGACGACGACACCTTGCCAAACGGTCAAAAAAATCCAAGGAAATATCATTTATGACTTTAATATGATTCACCATTATAGCAATATGTACCAGCTTAACAATCTACCATGAATTTAAAAGTATTATTATTATTAACGCAGATATATGTGCCAGATTGTTCTGATTTGTTTCCGTGGCACAAGTACAGTCTTAGAAAAGAATAGCTCGTACATAATTGACTGATTTGACTCCAAAGGAAGCCAATATATATTATATAGCTCTAGGTCTGCACACTACACTTCTTTTAATCTCTTTCACTGTTATTCGAAACTGTAGTCTTTAACGAAAGGTAAGAACAAAGAGTTCGTAGAAAAGAATTAATTGCGAATTAATTCCTTCCATTCATAATGAACATGAATGAATTTCTTATCAAAAGAGCATATGAAGATCATATGTTGTGCCGGACACGCGTCGCACACACAACACTCGGAGAGCCCTACCGCTCGTGAGCGTGTCGGATGAGCATTTCCCGCGCACGCATTCAAAACTGAGGCGGACGGACGTTGTTCGCTGTATTTATAGGTCAAAACTGAGGCGTAGCGCACAATTTCCTGAGCTGCGAAGGTATCTGACGCGCTGCTTTCCTTCCTGATGGCCTCCTCTTTGTGGGTTGCAGCCTAAGGGGTTTTCCCCAGAGCATCTTGTAATGAAGATATAGCTTTTCATGACGTCACCAACACCAACAAACCCTAACACAAGCCAGCATCTCGTAAGCAATGATTCAACTGCAAACTTAAAGCGATTATTCTCTTTGTAAATAGGCCGAGGTCAGCAGATATCATAACCAAGATGCCACATGCGGCGGCACACAACTACACTGAACGCCACATCGCGACTTACGATGCAAATATTAGCCTTCGGTCCGTAACTGCAGGGCGATCGCTTGCTAGCTTGGCCAACCAGTATCAGCTCGAACTCGATCGAATCGATGCAATGATCAAAACTTGAGCCGCACCTATTCTTTTTTACGCGGAACATACTTAGACCAAGGCTCCCTCCTATCTAACATGGGAAGCAGATGAGCGAGTGGGCAAATCTGAATTTAATTCGCTGGCGAGGAAATATTTTAGCTCGTTTACATTATAAGACTAATTATAAAATGTATCATATCCCAACAAAAGATGACATCTAGGCTTTGATTGAGATGAAAAAATTTATGAAACGATATCCTCATATTTAATTTTTTTTAATGTTCACATAAAGTATATGATGAATATTTGTACAAGGCTCTGAAGTTACTAGACTCGAGAAATTATTTTTTGCCGTTGTGCGTTTTTTTATATCGTACTAAATTTTATCGCGAATTGGGGATCAAGTCTACGGAGCTCATCATCCGTAAATCGATTTTGCTTTGCGGTATCACTTTGCCTGGTCCATAACACAGATGTAATATTTTACATCATAGATGAATATATAATACTTTCCATCATAGACGAATCTAAAAAAATGCGCACAGATCTGCATTAACTTTCAACACGAAACATTAAAGCAACAAATCATGAAAATTGCATCCCAGAAAAAATAGACATGAAAAACATCATTCACGAAATCATCACAAACTCAAATATACCGTAGAAAACATCTCACTATTTGTGCATGAAGAACACCACAGCACGGTATCTAACATACATCATCAGCCGAAAGCCGCAATGCTATTACTTCAATACATATGAGAGACGAGCAAGTCAAGACCAATAAATATGACCATTGCGTAAGAGCATAAAGATGGTGGTGCTTATAATCACCACGTGTGCATGTTGACGGCCGAATTCAGCATCAAAGATGACTTCAGACGTGCAGTCCGAGTGTCAGCATAAAAACTTATGATTGCACCACGCAATAAAAATGATTGATAGAAGAGCTAAGCGAAAACACAAGCTCCTGTAAATACAAATTGATCGGCCGTGAACGAATTTACGCTCTTGCATGTAATGCGCTAGAGGAACTTCAAAACAAGCACGTGATGTGTACAGAGTAAGATATATTTGTAAGACCAGGGGCGGTTAAAAATGATTAATTGACCATCTTTCAGTAAAATATATATCTTCAAGAGTGAGATTGCAACAATTTTAGTTAAAAAACGACGTCAAGCTCAAGAGCTAATGCATTAACGAGCACATGGGATTAATTGCACTTAAGTTAGAAGAAGTTACAATCGATCGTATTGTAGTTTGAGAAGTAATCGAATTTATCAAC